GGCACAGGGTAAGAATGTTACAACAACAAACAGTATAACAACACGACAGGAGTGTAAAGTACAAGAAAGGTAAACAAATCACCCACTCACACATACAAATATAACGAAACCATCCCCATCCTGCAAGACAAAGCCCACTGAGGTATCAACTTATTTTTCAAAATGCGACCTAGCCACAAATGACAGCTCAACAAAGTTACTTATCATTTGGACATTTATAGCAGCAAAATAATCTAAATAGTCTCAACGCTCATCACTGCGCTACCGCTCCCCACTACGCCACTGCTTATGCGTACACGCGCAAACAGAGGAGATGTCTTTCTTTACGTCCTGAAAGATTCTAACATTTCATTGTCCAACTAATTAATTTCTGCGGCGGTCAGATAAGCGTTATCCTTTAGGTTTAATATACCTTCTAAGTGGAAAATGGCATCTGCCGCGAGTGTTTTTCAACGTGCACCGGATGAGCCTTAATCAGCCTTAATCACGCTCCAGGTTTCGTACGTGGATTTTTAGGGGCACGTTATGAACCGAGTTTTGCGGACGGAGAAACCGACATCTCTTTAAATCTCTTTTTCATTCGGGCTTCTGTGACCTCTCTCTAGTTTATTTAAACCCGCCGGGTTTTAACGAACGACACCATTTGCCATATCTGTGCCTGACCTTCGTCATTTCACCGCGAGCAGGACATTCGGTTATCCCGCCGATTTATAACGGGGGTTTTCGCGTAAGTTTAGGCTTTGCCTCGAAAGTACAGGCTAATTCAAGGGCGCGGTTGCCCCAGTATATCAGTTTATGTAACAAATCACCCTCCACCCCCCCCACAACTGCTCATTATTTCCATGAAGACAGTTGGTATTTCCGTGCTCGTACAAGCTACGAAGTGGCCAGCATCCCGTTTGGCAACCATGAGAGCCAACAGTGGAAATTCCACATTCCTATGGTAAGGGCTGGCATCTTTCTGGTGCGAACTACCGTTCAATTCCCACGAAGAGTTACGTACTGTTCTTATTTTATTATCGACTCGAGAAGAGATGATGGATTTGAACTCTTGACCTTCCGATTGCAATTCAAGTGCCGCCCGCTCCCCCCCCCCTTGCCAACGCTGCTGACCGGCCACGCAGAATTTTTTAAACAACCGTAAATCTTTTTCATCAACATTTCAAATCGTCCTCTTCAGTTGCGCCCAGCCCCCCTGCAATAAAACGAACCTGCAGTGACTCCGTCTTGCCGAGCCAAGAAATCCTCACATATTTTGCTGCCTCGGAGGATTGTCGTAACTTTTATGGGATTAAAGATATTATTATCCATAAACCTTTGAAACGGTCCAGCCTTGTCTCCCCCTCCTTCCCCCTTCTCCTCCCCAAACTGGAAGTCTTGTACTCTCTCGTTTTATCCTTTACGAACTATGTGAAAGGTTAATCCTGTCCCTTTTCTCAGTCATCCGCAGTTATTTCTCGTCTTTTTTTTTGCTGCGATCCACGTTAATAATTACGGGCAAGTGTTGTTTCTGCAGGTGTGTCTTAAACGTTTTAAAGCTGTGTAATCCCTCAATTATTTTGGATATACCAGATGCCATCTATAATTGCCATCCAAGTGGTGCAGATAGTACTTCTTATGCCCTGCAGCTATATCGTGTAACAGTGCTTAAGCTTGTATTTTTTATAATGGACGCACGATTTTCAATTACACCCACCATGTCTGGATTTGTGTGGCCCACCATCTCGTATTTAACGTTTTTCAATCCAAATTTGAAAGCACTCTGTCCATCCATCCCTAACGGTTTTTGGTAGTGGGGTGGGGTGGCGATGAGAGGGGGTTTGTGGTAGGTGGACAGGATCGTGGGTGGTGGAAGCCCCGCTAACTCTCGTAAAGACAATCCAATTTGAAGAAAACTTTAGTATAAAGTTACCATGCTGAACGAGGAACTTTCCCTCTCGAAAACCCGGCCAAATCGAATTGAACAAAGGTGTGGTACCAGCTTACGTTTGGGGATCCATCCCTGAGTATGAGCCCGTTCTGCAACAGACTCAAAAGCGGTGTTTCAGAGAGCCTACTTCAATGTGTGATCAATGTGGGATCAATGTGGGATCAATGTGGGATCAATGTGGGATCAATGTGTGATCAATGTGGGATCAATGTGGGATCAATGTGTGATCAATGTGTGATCAATGTGGGATCAATGTGGGATCAATGTGTGATCAATGTGGGATCAATGCATATTCGTGATGGACTGAACTGGTAAAAGTGCGTAAGAACAAATGTTCTCACTTTTTCCAAATTCTTCGAGACACAGAACAGGGCAAAAGGCTGCCGGCATCGTCTCCCGCGCCGCCGCCACAATGTACTCCTTTCGAAGAAAGGACGCGCGCCAGAAAGCGTTACGTCGTGATCCGTGCGCGCGTGGTTTTTTTAGTCCTCATTTTGTGTTGTGTAAGAGAAAGCTGAGTGCCCAGAGAAAGGAATTTTTTAAATATAATTTCGGTGGAAAAATACTCGTGGCAGGTCCCTCGACAACCTTGTTACTCCACTGCCACGCGGCTGTGTGTCGCATGCAATTGATGATCTCCATCTTTCCGTCATCCAACAACCCCACCACCGAGCCTTTCGGATGTGGCCGTGCACCACCACCACCACCACCGCTCTGCGAGTCACTTGGTCGTTATCGTCACCATCGTCATCAGACTTTGTCCACTGCTGGATGAAGGCCTCCCAAACGCTGACGTCCGTCGCTCGAGTTCCTTGCGCCGGCGCGAGCCGCCTCGCTCCTCGTGCGCACGGATTGACGTCGCCAATCGACCGCTAGGCTTGGTCATCATCCTCGCGGGCGCATTCTTTCCTCTTATTTGCCACTGATCGCTTGAGTACTGTGCACCCAACACATTCGTCAATACCACCGTGGGATTGAAAGGAAAAAAATATTTTAACAGGCGATGTTTCGGGCAACGACCCTTATTCATGGTGCTATGAAACAGAACAATTGGCTGGAACGTCACCTCTGATATGTTTTTCCTTTTCAGGCCACAGTGTTATCAACGGATGTGTTTTCTTTTTTGGTTCGCTGTGCTTGTCAATGCAGCAGCGTCACCAACATCATTTTATTTGAAGACCGTGTGTGGATTGTTTCATCGCAGGATTGTTGAGAGGTTGTGGCGGCTTGGGTTTAGGCCGTCATCCAGCAGTGGATTTACCAAAGCTAGTGAAATTGAAGATGATGGTGATGATGATAGAGTATAATGCCAGTGGAATGAATTAAGTCATGCTTGAGTGATCCAGCGGTTTCTTTCGGTTTAAAGTGTACTTTCGTTCAACTCGGTGAGTCCCCTTATTTAAATGCTGATACAGCTCCAAATACCACACACTTGTTAATAAGTGCCTTCAGAGGTTAAGTCAATAGGGCCCATACGGCTCGTGCTTCGGAGGAAAAACGTGAAGGTGTGTGAATCAATAATTTATTAGAAGACGCGCAACCCGTGCTTTCTTCACACGCAACTTTTTTAAGGAGTCCCATTTTTTCCTCCCTCTGTTTTTTGTTGCTCAAATCGACACCGTGGGTGTCGCAACGTCACGGGGGAAGAAACATGTTCCGCTTGGAGCTCGCGCTCGAACAGCGGGGCAGTCGCCCGTTCGAGAACGGCCCGTGGAATGTGGTGTCGCGGCACTGCGTCTGAGATCCGAAGAGTTTTCACCACCTTTTAGCGGACACTGTAATTTACCATGTCCCCTGCACAGATAATTTTTCGCTGCATGGCAGCCAAACTAATGCAGTCAATTCTCAGTGCTGGAATTTTTACTTGAATGAAAAAAAAAATACATTTAGAGGAGAGATAATAAAAGTGATGAAAAGAATAATATTGAATCAGAATATCCACTTGCATCGCGCCGCATAGTATTTGTTCACTCTCGAAGCGAGAGGCGTGGGGAATCGCAGGCAAGCGGGGGAAGGGCGGGGGGGGGGGGCAGCCACGCGATAAAGCCGGCGCTAGCAATTGTCTTAAGCTCTGCGGTCCTCTGTACATTGGGGATGTGACCGGCAAATAAATGCGAATGTGTTTTACACGTGGGAAGAAAGCGGAGTGCCCGGTGAAAGCTCACGCATGCGACGGGACAAGCACCTCCTCAATGCCCACGGGGAAGGGAATTTGAGAGTGTTTCTGTGATCAACCAACAACCCTCGCTTTCTCGACAAGTGCTGGATTACAGGCCACGTGCATAGCCGCCGCCACCACCGCCCGGCTACGAATGTCACACAAAAGTTAGAATCCACAGAATGCTGTGAGACAATTTTGAAAAGCTTTGAGAAGTGAAATTGTCGAAGCACGAAAGATGGTTTAAGATGTCAGAACAAGCTGATGGAAGCATAAAAGTAGCATAATGGGGGGGGGGGGGGGGGGGGTTGGATGATTGGTATTTCACAAATATTATCCTAGGGCCGAAAGATGGAATCATAACTCATGTTAGGGAGAGAATGTGAGAATTAGTGGTAGGAATGTTACGCATGTCTCTGTATCACCAAAAAGGTACGTATCCCAGGAATAAAAGCCATTTTTCACGGAAAGTGTAGGAAGTTCCTGATGTCACACCTTTTTAAATATAGAGAGCATTATCATGTTATTATGTCTGATACATTTCAGTAAATATTGTCTGCGTTTCTGAGGTTGAAGTGAATCAATGGTGCTCATTGCTTCGCCTTCCTCGTCATCATCCTGCGTCTCTTCGTCCCTTCCTTCGATTCATCTTCCACCACTCCTTACCTCTGTCCCTTCTCATTTTCATTCCCCAATCGCTTTTCTCTTCCTCCATTCCCTCCTACTTCTCATTCTCTTCCTTTCCCTCTCCCTCCTCCTTTTTTTCCTCATTCCCCTCCTCATCCTCCATCTTATCATCATCTTATCAATGCCTCTCCTCACCCTCCTTCCACATCTCCTAATCTTCCTATCCCTCCTCTCTCCCTCCTCTCTCTCTCATCTCCCCCCTCGTTCACCACCGGTACCCGACAGGTGTACGTGAATGCCGAGCTGGTGACGAGCATCGGCGAGGGCGGCAGCTTCGGCGAGCTGGCGCTCATCTACGGCACGCCCCGCGCCGCCACCGTCAAGGCCAAGACTGACCTCAAGCTGTGGGGCATTGACCGCGACAGCTATCGCCGCATCCTCATGGTAAGAGGCCTGATGGGAGACCTGGTGATTAGCCTGGTTTGCGGGCCGGTGATCGGGCCCTTGAGAGGGCTGGCGAGAGGCCTGGCGAGTGGACAGGCGACAGGCCTGGCGACAGGCCTGGTGAGAGGGCGATGTCATTCTGCACAGCCTTATGATCCATTTCACTAGGACCAGGCACAGTGATATCAGTGGAAGTGACAACGCGGGAAAGACATCGCGATTCGCTTTTGCCTCCGTTGCTTCTGCTAGGCTCGCTAAGAAGCTTTGGCCGGCGATCTTAGGGAACCGCTGGTTCATTCAGGTGGCAATGATGAGTGCCAGTCGCCCCGTAAAAAACGCTCCATGTGGATTGAGTTATTTTTTTACACTCCTGGCAGTGCCTTGCCATGTCGCCACCCTCGCCCTTCATGCCGGGCAGCTTTGCATTGGGTGCAATAATAATTGTGAGGTATTTAAGCAAGTACCAAAGAAAGTGTCGATGAGTCTCAATACTATTTTCGAGAAAGTCCTGCATTGGGACGTTTGAAGGCTTTCCATTTTAATGAGCATTTTGCATCGTGTGGGTGACAATGGGACCATCCAGAGAAGCGCGCTCGCCACACAAGGAGATGGCGCTTCAGAGGGTCCCCACGGATGGGTTCACAATCCCACTTGCTGTGTCGCCATCTCACGCCCCACCACAAGCGGAGAGAAAGCAAGCGGCGGCCTGGAGTGGTTTGCATCATCGGCATTTGCCTCGATGTGCCACCTTGGTCTCGCTTCCCATAGCTCTGCATCACTGGCATATGCACGTATGGATCGCGCACCACTTAGCCGCCACCTCGCCGTACGTGCTCATATTAACGCTGCGCGATGATGGCTCTTCTGAATATATGACGGAGGAGGGGGTAGGCAGGGGTCAGCCGGTAGAAGGCTTGCATTCACCACAAATCGCCACCTCCCTTCCCAAAACAAATAAACCCTTCCTGTTTTTGCGTGCGCTGCTAACGCACGTGTGTGCGCGTTGCGCCACCGGCGGCGGTGGTGGCATCCGTTCGTCGGCCGTCTCTCACGACGAAGCGTGCGCCCCTTGTGCGCGCGCACGCGCAACCCTTTCATAAATGATCCTGGCCATCGCCTCCGTAAGCCAGCCAGCCTCTCGCGCACCCCACCCCCCCAAAACCCCTCCGCTCCGCTTCTACGACCTCTTCTTCCACTGCCGCACAGCCTGCTTGTGTTACCCAACTGCATAATGTGCTCCTGTATCACGCCACTCCCCTGCCGGGCTTGCGGCAAACGCATTCACGGCTACAGCGCATGCCTTGAGCCGTGTTCTGCATTGGCTCGCAGGATGAGATTAAGGTGTGTGACCGGGTGGCCTGGAGGTCAGAGTCGGCATCCGAAGAATCGGAATATTTTGTTCGTACTGCAGGAGGAATCCCGTGATCGGTAAAGCTCTTTTTCGCAGATGTCCAGTCGGGGCTGGTCAAAGTTTACATCAATTGAGTCCCCCCCACCACCGCACCGCCTTGATTCAGTTCTGGGTTTCGACCACAGATTGAGTTCTCAATTGTAGCGAGCTGATGGAGCATGGCCCAATCACCAACGGTGATAAATGGGTTTTGTTTTTTCGCTTTTAATTTGGAAGAATCTTCGGAGCGACGCAAAACCACAGATGTTAGTTTTGCTGTCACGTGAGTTGATTTTGTCTCTCGTGTGGCTTGTGGAAAGTGCTACTGCCCCGAGCGTAGGGTGACGGATCACTTGAAGAGATCTCGAAAGTAGTTCTAGGATATAACCACATGCTCTGTGAGACGAGACAAGACAAATCATTAGCGTCATTGTGGAGAAAATAACAAAATTGATAAGCAGGCAATGTCAACTTTATATATCTCTCTGTCCACATGAAACATTTTTGGATGTTTTTTTTGTGGCGTGTAAGAATCTGCGTGGACAAATATTCATCTCGTGCCAGGACACCGACAGGGCAATTTGACGAAAAATTTCGAGGGGAAAAAAAAAAAATGAAAAGGATTAAGACGTGAGCTGTCAAACCGTGAGCTCTGTGCAGAAGTTGCTGGTTATATAATCTCGCCACGAGCTGTTGGTTTGTAAGCCACTGCCACCACCATCAAGCCCAAACGGCCGTCCATCGGCAGGAGTTTGGCGGTGCGATGTTCGCTTAAAGCAGAGGGGGCGGGCGGGGGGGGGGGGGCTTGCGAAGTACATCCGATATTTCCTGAAAATTAAAAAGTCGCCCGGAACTTTCTCAGTTTGCTTGACACTCTCCTGTGTGTGTGTACGCAATGCACACGCACGCACGGCCATAATCTCACCACCACCACCCGCCACCCCTCCCCTGCTCCTGCCTATTGACAGTTTTTCGCAGATTGCAGGAAAAATATTTGCCCAGCTAAAACATACTCCGGTGAAGATTTAGAGCTGTAATGGTATTTGTCCACTTATTAAACTCTGGCTGTCACCTGCTGTAGCAAGCTGGCTATCGGGCAGAAGGGCTCACCAGATAGATCGGAATGTTACCACTTTATGGGTTTATCTGCAGTGCATGGGCCAGATTTCTGCTGAGCCATTTGTATACTCTTTATAGCCTTTCGAGGATATCCCAGGGCTCCAATCAGTGCCAGCAGAGCCACGAACAAACAGGGCTTTAAAAGTCTCCCACAGCAGGTGCGGTTATGGCCGGTTATTGTTGGTCGTTGTAAATAAATCCCATGATCCCGTTGCCACACTTCACACTTTACTTGGCTCACTCACCGCTCAGTTACTAGCGAATTGGGGCTCACCTTTGTGAGGTTGTGGATTCAGCTCCTGTGGCTCATGTCAAGTTTCGTTCTTCATTCCTCAAAATCACCAGCCACGAATAGGCATCAAAATCCACGATTGATCTTAACGGCTGCTGATCGAAGGCCTCTCCAAGCCACCGCCGCCGTCTCCTGCTCTCCTGTGATGTAACAAACCGCCGAGCACCTCCTGCAGACGAGCAGATTTCATCGCTCCATCTCCGCGGATGGGCGTCCTCCGTTTTTCTCACCCGTCAGAGACCACCCCTTCTATCCAATCCCTCTTTCCTCCAGGGTTTAGTAAAATATCTGCGGACAGGCCATGAACGCCACGTGCTGCCATGGCATCTCTTGCACTGTGGACTCACTTCACATGAGTGAGACTTGCGTGCTTTGCGTGGTCCACCAACCCTGCCTGCATCTAACCGACCATGCCCAGCCACCATAGGCAGGAGGGTTCACATGCATTCTGAAGGTGTCATCCGCAGTACTAAGACACGTGGTGAATAGAATGGGGGGGGACCATTGCAACGAGCGCTCGCTAAAGTTTTGGTTTTCACACGGGAGGCCGCCTGGCCTGTTGGCCAGTGGCGATGTGGCAGTTCAGAGAGAGAGTTACCTATTTTTTTTACTTACACTAAAACAATTTTTTAGCTCTTTTTCAGAAGCAACCTCGCCACAAATCATAGCTCAACGTAGTGGCTTGTCACGTAGAAATTTATACCAACTCCAAACGCACGTTGATTCTAAATGTGGAGGGAAAAACCGGAGGACCCGGAGAAAAATCCACGCGACCACGGAGAGAGAGAGACACCGCAAACTCGAAATTTTCAACAGGCTTCAGGGTCGGGATCGAACGCACGACCTGCCGTATACCAGGCGAGGTAGTTAACATCTCACCACCGTGGTGCCCCTTTGGTGGAATCCCAGCCGGCTCAGACCCCAGCCAACCTGAGCCCGTGGACGTTTTCTTTTTTTGCGGAACGGCCGCCTTTGCTGCATGTAACCAGAAAACGTTGTTTTCTTTGGAATAATCACCGGTATTAGATGACAAACACTAACACACTTAACTAAAATAAATAATGGGCAGGAGAGCTGCTTTTCATCCCCCGGAAAGGAAAAAAAAACCGAGCAAGCGTCGACTGAGGCTGCAGTTTCTTGCGGGATTTGATTTGACTCCTGCCCCGTAACCTGTCGTGGGTTGCACGGGCTGTGGAATTTGGCAGCACTGCGGTATAGGAAACCCATTAGTGGCCTCCAGTGTATGTAAACATGGCACTGTGGACCTGGGAAAACAAATGGTTTGGTCATTGGTGGCTAATAGCGTATACGTGTGTGTGTGTGTGGTGCGTCTGTTCATCCCTGTGTCACTTTTGTTCCCCTCTCCTCTGTTGTGTTTGTGTGTGTGCGCTTCGTGTGTGTGCGAGTGGTGTGTGTGTGTGCGAGTTGTGCGAGTGTGGGGAGTGGTAGTATAGCGGTTGGTGTACTGCACTACGAACCCAGCGATGCTGCGGGTTCATTTCCCGCTCACGGTCAACACCAGTGACGAATATTTGAACCGGTCCTGGGCCTCCCCTAGGTCTATTCAGACTCAATTGAGTACCTTTTGCGGTGTGTAAACATCGACACTAAATAGACAAAGGTGGCCGGGCGTCGTGCTTGGCCACCCACCCACCCCCTCGTGTACCGTGGCAGACCTTCATAGGTGCTCGCTTACAGCACTTGCCCCAAAAAGTCTGTTCAGGCTGTACGGGGGATCTTTGTCTTTGTTGTGTGAGTGGTGGCACATTGGTGAGCGCGCTGCGAACTGGGGAAACAAAGATGGTTGGACGTGGTACTGGTCACACACCGCCACCTTGGATGCTGTGACGGCCTTTATTGGATCTCGAAAATAGCACTTGCCCCAACAGCCTGTTGGGCTACACGGGGGACCTTTGTACATGTGCATAGTTGGTGGTTGGTGTGGCTTGTACTTCCCCGTGTCACATGTGCATGCACATGTGCCTACATGTGTGTGCGTGTGCGCAATTGTGGGGAGCGGTAGTGTAGAGGTTAGCGCGCTGCGCTATGAACCCGGCGATCCGAGTTCATTTCGCACTCACGGCCAAAACCAGTGACGATTATCTGAACCGGTCCTGGGCCTCCCCTAGGTCGACTCAGCCTCAAATGAGTACCTGATGCTATGTGTATATATTGCCACTGGGGAGACAAAGGCGACCGGGCGTGGTGCTGGCCACCCCCCCCCCCCCCCTCATGTGCCGTTCAGGCCTGCATAGTTGCTCGCTAAACGGCACTTGCCCCAACGGTCTGTTAAGGCGATACGGGGAATCTTTTTGCAAGATTGTGGACAAATTTTTACGAAGTGTGTACTTGCGCGTGTCAATGCATACGTGGACGCGTGTGCATGTGTAAGTGTGTATCCATAAGCATCTGAACGCTTGCACACCTACATCTGTAGGTGTCTTCACGCTGGTGGCTTCTGTTGTGCATACCTTCCTCTGTGTGTGTGTGTGTCTGGCTTACCTATGCTCCATTCTGGGTTTAACCAGACTGGATTGTGTGAGGAGCTCACAAATCCTTGAAAGATCTGGATACAATCCCATCAGTGAGCTTCTCTTGCAGTCAAGACTGCGTTGACTGGGTCATGTAGCCTGCGTGCCCATCCACCGCATGCCAAAGCAGCTTCTGTTTGGCCGGATAGAGGGGACTAAACGGCCGCGGCATGGGCTGGTGAAAAGATGGACTGGTGTGGTACCGGAGGATGAGTGGATTTACCGAAAGCTGGTCCCAGTGGTGTCCTCTGGGGGGGGAGGTTCGTGAACAACGCTACTGGGCAGTTGAGGGCAATTGTCCTCCATCAACAACGGAGGGCAGAGGAGCGAAAAGGCAGCAAATTGGCACAGTGGGGAACACAGGTGGTGCATCTGCTGGTCGTCTTAGCCAACACATGGCACCTGGGTCTGTCCCGTGACCTGGGAGGAGCAGCGAGCCTTCGACACTTCACATGGCCTCGTGGTGCTCCTAACCGGGCACAAGCACCAGACTTGCTGCTTTTGCGTCTCGAGCACGCACGCTCGCTCACTCGTGTGTGTGTGTGTCCCGTAGTGGGGAGCGGTAGTGTAGTGGTTAGCGCGCTGCGCTAAGAACCCGGCGACACGGGTTCGATTCCCGCTCACGGCCAACACCAGTGACGATTATCTGAACCGGTCCCGGGCCTCCCCTAGGTCGACTCAGCCTCAAATGAGTACCTGGTGCGGTGTGTAAACATTGCCACTTGGGAGACAAAGGCGGTCGGGCGTGGTGCTGGCCACCCACCCCCTCGTGTACCGTTCCACGGCCTTCATAGGTGCTCGCTAACAGCACTTGCCCCTACAGTCTGTTAAGGCTACATGGGGGATCTTTGTCCCGTGAGTAACCCCCCGCGCGCTTGGCTTTGCCGGCCCACAGGGCAGCACGCTGAGGAAGAGGAAGATGTACGAAGAGTTCCTCAGCAAGGTCTCCATCCTCGGTGAGTTTCATACCAACACCCCCCCCACCCCCCCTCTTGGCGGCCGCCGTTTGTCACGTCTGGCGCCACTAATTCACGGCCGGGCTTGGCCTCGGTTCTGTTTCAAACGAGCCGGCTCAAAAAGTCGCTCGCTTAACTGCAGCCGGCTCAGGGCGTTGTACCGAGCTGCGCTCAGGATTTCTCGCGAGCTGAGCCTTGGGCAGCACGCCACGGCCGAGCGGCTCAAGGCATGTGCCGAGCCGCGTTAGAGACACCAACTCCAGGGCCGTGCCGCCGCTAAGAATACAACTGCCGCTGTCGGGGCGAATCGGAACAGGAATCTTGTCTCCCGCGCATGTAATTTCAACTCGTGACACTTTTGGCACGCGTCATCTTGGACCGGCGAATGTGTTTTGACGTGAAGCCCAAAGTGACTTGTGCTCGAGACTAAACATTTAGAAGCTCTCCCGCTCTTGCAGCGCCGGGCGTCCAGGCGCGCGCGCAAACTCACCAGGGCTGACTTGGGACGCGGAGCCACACACGCGTGGTGTGACGGCCCCTTGATTTGCGCAAGAAGGCGTGCAATTAAATAATAATAATGCCGACCATGATCACCCAGGAATGTCCTTAACGCTCGTGACGTCACTCCACATCGACCATCCCCCCTGATTAATATTCATGAGCAGGTGATGTCCTCCAATGGACACCCCCCCCCACCCCTCATTCATAATCATGAGCGGGTGACATCACTCAATATGGAGTACTCCCCCCTCCCCCCCTCACTAATAATCATGAGCAAGTGACGTCACTCCACATCAAACAGCCCCCCTCGTTAATAATGATGAGCGGGTGACGTCCCGCCACATGGAGCACCCTCTCCCCGTCATTAATAATCATGAGCAGGTGACGTAACGCCACATCGAACAGCCCCCCTCATTAACAATCATTATAAGGTGACATCCTCCAAATGGACACCCCCCGCCATTAATAATAATTAGCGGGTGACGTCACTCCACATGGGGGGGGGGGGGGGCGAGGCGCCTCCTTCCCCCTCCTTGGCGTCAACTCACAGCCCTCACTACAAAGGCAGAACCCTCACGTCACGTGATCTCCGTCACGCTACTGAGACATCAAAGTAAAAAGGACGTCATGATGAACAAGGGATTATAACCCTTTAAATGAAATAGGTCTGTGTCACCGCGCCCTTACAAATTGCACGCGAATTGATGCAATGAATATATCACGTGGCGGTCTGCTTTTCGCTTGCAAGCTTCAGATTTACTGCAATACAACCGTCCTTGGACGGGCAAAAGGCTAGTACTTTAATGTTCTTTGGAGCAACTGGCTTTTGTCAGAGTAATAAAGAATGTATCACGCTGCCTCTTTGCCTATTGGGGTTTATTCCCGTGGCTGCGGGGGGCAGAGCACCTGAAACCTTGGTCTGGCATGCTTGTGGGAGTCGTTAAAAATAAAAAGTTCGACTTCGTGAGAAGTTAATCATAATTACTCTGTGGAGCCATGTATTTGTCCCGTATTATTTATATACATATAATTTTACCCCCAGCATGGGAATGTGGAATTTACACTTGGCTTAGGACTGTGACGGGTACTTGAGCAGGAAGATATTTCAGCCGGCACCATCTCCCACAGTTCTGCGATGTAGGAATCCATTTAGCGGCCACACGCACTGTCGCACGGTTTCATCACTCCGTCTCCGCGGTGAACGTCCTCTTGGGCGTTCCCTTTCTTCGACGACCACTCCCAACGTTGGGCTTGCCCAGACGTGCGCACGCACACGCACACACACACGCAGTCCTCAGCGAGCTGAGCGCTAATGAAACACGGCCATTCTTGTGCGGTCGCTTCATCGCACGAGCGCGTGAGATGTGCACAGGAGGTCGGAGGAGGCATTCCCGTGCCCACCGCACGTTCCACCATCTCCCTCCCCCCACCTCCCTCCCTCGCCATCTCCTCCCATCCTGTATCGTCTGAATTTGCAATGCCATCCCAGACGGACGTTTTCCTACACACTCGGACATTAATTCCTGGAATCAAATCGTGGCCGTGCAAACAGAAATGCCTGCGTGAGCGAGGAGTTGGACGGTGGTTTTCTTGTCGGATTTCCCAATGTAAACAGTTATAAGAGGCACGTAGAAGGGAAATAATAAAATAAAACAAATTAATTCTCACGACGTTTCGATTTCCCTTCTACGTGACTTTACCGAAAGAACCAAGAATATGAATCCCTGCAGCCACGAAAGCTTGAAATCGAAAGTTATAAGAGTTTTCCGTGGGAGGTGGCCCTGTAACGTTGTGGGTTTTTGGCTTCCGATGGGTAACATGTTAAATGGTCTCAGCTTGGTCACTCCGCTGTTTGCACACACAAATCAACTCCGTGTAGGTGTCCACTTCACATTTCGTCATTTGTTTCCACACTCTGCACTGTCTTGTGCCAATACGCTCAAGTGGTGCCACATCTTTCTGCCACAGATCTCTTACGTCGTCATCATTGCTTCGCCGAGATTAAAACAAAAAAATGTAAATGAGCAAATTGCGTAACAGTGCGCTTGGTAACGATGCCGCTGCTTGGATTTTAATACCCGGATTGGCGCGGTCCCCTTAAAAACGGGCGGTGTGAAAGACTGAAAAAAAAATATCTATACGGGACAGACGAGACCAGTGCAAACAAGACAAGGGTACAAACGAAACATTGTAGAAAGATTCGGTGCACATGCTCGACCCATATTCTACAACTAAACTGAACAATTTATTTTTTTTAACCGGGTAAGGCCCCACTGAGCTGCATAGCTCTTTGTCAGAAGCGAACCTGGCAGTCGCAAATGATAGCTCAACAAAGTGGCTCATCGTCGTGTGGAAATTTGAAGCGGCCAAATACTCTAAACGTGTGACGTTGATTCTAAATGTGGGGGGGGGGGGGGGGGGAGAAACCGGTGGACCACGGGAGACGGAACATGCAAACTACCAAATATGCAGCAGGCGTCGGGGTTTGTGATCGAACCCGCGACCATCTCCTGCGTACCGGGCGAGGGAGTTAACATCTCCGCGGCGCCCCACGATCTAGACGAGGTGCCGTGAAGAGTTGAAGAGGTTTTTGTTGTTTTTGAAACGCTACGGCTCTTAAAGTCCTTGGAAATGGCCCAGCGAGTGGCGACGGCATTGTCGCTCGAATCCTGACATCCACGGTGTGAGCGTTCCAACCCACAATGCATTGAGGTCAGAGGGCTACCTTTTTGGTCAGTTCTATTGTCCTCGCAAGCAGGATTTACGGGCAATGAGTTCATTTAGTATTGTCCCTCAGCTGTGATTAATAGCGTCGTTAAACGGTCCGAGAGAAAATGATTAAAAATTGTCTCCCGTTCGTTGCTCACAATCGAAACAAAAAACAAACGCTGTTTGATGACAAAAATCTAATCGCCCGCTCCTTATCAAATCAAATGCATTGAATCGCCAAACAGACGAATCGATTGTTGTCAAAGCAGTACATTGAATCGTGAAGCAGTTGATCTGGCCCAACTAACTGATCTGGCGGAATTGATCTGGCCCAACTGACTATTGAAGGGTCCTCGCTGATCGTAATCGTGTGACCTCTAACCCTCTCGGGGGGCCATTCCTTGACGCAATGTCGTCTGCACCTAACCCAATAACTTTTAAGATACAAAAAAAACTGGTGACATCCTATCCTACATTGTCACCCCCCCCCCCCCACCCCTTATATGTCGGTAATCAATAACAATCGCTAGCCTAATCAACTTGTGTTTTGCGTTATTTACGTGTGTGTGCGCGTTTTCGTTTTATCCGGGACACCCCTGCCCGCTACAATCGAGAGTTGAGCTGTACTCCGTCCGTTGGCACAATGAGCGGGCGTTACAAAACAAACTCAAGTCGGCCACGAGGATTTGCGATCTCTCTCTCTCTCCGCTGCTGTCTCATTAGCAGCGATGAACAACGGCGGAGAGAGGAGATTTGGTGGGGGCGGGGGCGGGCGTGCGTGTCTGTGTGAGAACAGACCCGGGAATTATTCCGCTTTCCGGGACGAATGTACCGCAGAAGGGGGTTGGGGGGGTGGGAACGGGAGGGGGGGGGGTGCTAGACATTTTTTAATCGTGATGCAGCCGAGCACAGCGATACATTAATTATTTAGAGCAAAGTCAACTTTGAGAGCGAGCTTGTTCCGTTCGTTGGCTCGCTTAACGATCTGAAGTCTGCCGGTCAGATTTTTTGGACGTACCCGTTTGTGAATTGCATGGTATGTAATCCGCAATTCCCCTGGAGAAACTTAGACGTGTACTTGTACAGTGTGTGTCGTCGTGTTTTGGGGGGGGGCGGGCGGGCGGGCGGGCGGTGGGGTGTGGAAATGAGACCCTTAGGAGAATGTACTGTCTATACAAGGCGAGGAGGATTCTACGGGGAAACTGAAATGTTTGTGACCTCGGGCTCGTTGCCATCACCCGCAAAAAAGTCCGGTCGCTCGAGAGAGAAATTCGCGCGGAATTTCATTTTTTTTCAAATCGGTAACTATCATTTCCAAAGTTCGCTTCGACGTTGCTAACTTTAACCCAATGGTGTGGATTTTTTTGGCTGGGCGGATGGCTTGTTTACGACGCAGTGCTGGTTTTTTGGCCCGCGCGTCATTTCGTCTCACTTGTTTCATCTTTTCCCACTGCAACGCGTTCGCAGACCCACCATTCACCACCCCCCCCCCCCCCCAAAATTGGTGAATACCTGAATGTGAACTTTGATCTCACCTTAATATCCAACCACGCGGCTCGACAGCAGAGCTGACGGCCTGCAATGATAATGCTGAGTTCAAATTCTGGTTAGAGTGTTGACTCTGCCCATCATCCATGCTGGCTTCTATAAAATGATTTAAAGCTTTCATGACTGCAGGGATTCATATTATTGGTTCTTTCGGTAAAGTCACGTAGAAGGGAAATAATAAAAAATAAGCAATTATTCTTTTATTATTTCCCTTCTACGTGACTTTACCGAAAGTACCAAGA